TATATATATATATAAGTTTATTTGAAAAGCAATAATTAATTAAACTAAATTTTGATTAATTAATGGAGTTCTTGCATGAATTTGAGTCAAACTCTAAGAATATGAGTTTAAGAAAAAGAGTAGTCCAATTCAAATATTATGTAATAAATATTAGAAAAAAGAAAAATCATAAAAAAATAAAAATTAGGAGAGAAGTAATAAGAAAATAATTTGTTGAAAAGAGATAATATAGTTTTTAAGTAATATTTATATACATATCACTAAATTTCTATGTATTTTCATATTTAACATCAAAACTTCAATTTTGTTATATATGTCATCTTATTTATCTATATTCACCCTTTAAAAATTAAAATATTGAAATTTTTTATGTGATCTAAAAAATTTTGATGGTATAAATATAAAAAATAAAATTTAGATGTCATATATATAAATACATAAGAATTGTTGATATGTAAAGTGCATTCGATATAATTTCTTTAAAAATAGCTGGCCTATCAGCTAATGAGTCCAGCCTTTGACTCAAAGTACACATTGTTCGTAGCGCTGTAATTTAGCCGAGCTGAGTATATCATAGTTCTAACTTGGCTTGGTACAATTATATGTTTTTCATGTTCGGCTCGAGCTTATGTCGAGCTTACATATATTGTTCAAGCTTGATTTGTTTGAATTTTTTAATGTTTGAACTTGATTTGTACTTGATTTGCTTATGACAAGTGAACGAGTATTTCAACGAGCTAAAAATTCAAACGAGTATCTAGTTTTCATACAAAAATATCAATAAATAATTTAACAAGTTTGATCGTAGCCATTAATTATTCACTCATTAAGATACACATAATCATTAGATAATATAGTAATTTTACACTAATGAAGCAAATATGGGAATCAATAAAATTCCTTGTTGATAACTTTGTCATTCATATAAATGAAGAAATATAACTATTCAATGAGAAAAGGTACATCATCATGTCAACAATCTTACTCTCAAAAGCCAACAAGTAGCTCTTCAGGTTAGGGCTGTAAACGAGTCGAGCCTGAGCGAGCACAGGCCTGGCTCGTGTCGGCTCGTTCGAAACTGACTCGTGTTCGAAATTGACTCGTGTTCGAAATGGCTCGTGAATAGTGTGCTCGTGTTCGGCTCGAATTATATTTTTCTGTTCGTGTTCGGTTCGAAATTAAAGTTCAGGTCAACAATATTTATTGAATAAATTTTATTTATATAGTAAAATAAACATATTATTAATATTACTCATGCCAAATCAACATATTATTTCTAACAATAATCTAATCAAAATTAGCTGAATTTATCTCTCCAGGTTTTATATCTCTTCTTATTCTTGGTTGTGCTCGATTTTATGTTTATTAATAAGGCTTTAGAAAAACATGAATTTGAATTTAATAGAGTTTAAATTTAAGTTTGAAAATAAGTATTAATGCGTGCTAGAAAATTCGAGGCGTAGAGTAACAGATTATTGTCTTAGCGTTGTACGAAAGTTCAGCACACATACAGATGAAAGAGAAAAAAACGATGATTACTCCAGAAGTTTTTACATGAAAAACCAGTAAAAAAAAAACCACGGGGTCTGACCCAGTTGCAGAAATTCATTATTAATTGATGATTACAGAAATTCCTTGTCCCACAGACGGGAAATGGTAACTATACTTTTCATATTACAACGTCGATTGACGGAGTCTGGTTGGTGGTGATCGATTTGGTTAATGCTGGTGGACGACGTTGATGGAGATTGACGACGGTTGGCGGTGGTTGACGACGGTCAGCGGTGCTCGTCGGAGGCCGGCGGTCGGGGGCCGGGCCCGTGGGCCCGCCGGCCTCCGACGATCGGCGGTTGGCGGTGACTAAATAATTGAAATGTGTATTGTGCTCTTTCTATTAAAACACTTAACAAAAAATATACAATTTTAATGTTTTGACATTATAAAATAATAATAATTAAACTTATTAAATTTCATTAAAATGAAAATAAAACCAAATATATTTATTTTAAAAACTGGTTTGTACTATTATATATATATATATATATATATATATATTGTGTTTTTTTAGGCAAATGTTCCAAAAAGTTTAATTTGGACCTTCACTTTTGATGACAAAGATATTTGATTATTTTTTATTATAGCTTTCAAATTATGAAAATATTATAAATACAATTGGAATATGATCTATTTATAAAATATTTATTGTTTGTATTTCATTTAGAAAATATTTGATTATGATGTAAATATTGATTACATTAAGGAATATAAT